ACAAACCGAAAGCTTCACACGTTGCTAGGTCAGCTGTGGGACTACACTCGAGGGTCATTCTTAGATTCCTCATCTGTTCAATGGAGAACAAAATGGGAACTCTCCCTTGATCCAGAACTTCTATGGTTGTATCTCTTCTTGGAGTTGTGTTGAACCATAGAGTTACACGCTCCTTGATAAGAGCTGTTTCACTATCTGCGAAAGAGAACTTCGTGTTCGAAGGTGAGAAAGTGAAATCAATCATGCCTGGGGCACGTTGCTTCACGGCCTTGATAAGCCTGTTCACCGCATAGCGGGAACCCATAGCCCTAGTACAACCTGAGTCAAGTATGACAAAGGTAGGGTTCTTATCAAGATTGATCCGCTCTGTGAGAGCAGATAGGACGGTGTGCTGCAACGGAAACACCGCTGTTGCAGTTTCAACACCTTGCCCCTCGGATGGTTCAAAGACCTGGGGCACGTAACTCACTGATGAGTTGAACACGGGTTCTTGGTGCGCGCTCGGATCTGTGCCTCTACCTGATGATCCTGCTTGATTTCTTCTCTTCTTTCTCCGTGTTTTTCTTCGTGAGGCTTGTGATGCATAGTATGTATAAGACGTTTGATCGTCATAAGCGGCATAATTCCAACTGGAGTCAGTATAATAACTGTCCTCATACCATGAATCCCAGCTCGGTGCGGTGGAACTCTCATAGGCCTGTGGAGATCCAGTTTGGTCTCCTTGTAAGGAGGCAGACTTAGCTGTATCCTTACCTTTGCCTTTTGCCTTTGCGCCTTTGAAGGAGCTTCCTTTATCTCCTTTGTCCTTTCCTTTTCCTTTGCCTTTTCCACCTTTTCCTTTTTCCTTTCCTTTACCTTTACCGAAATAGCTGGAATCAGTTGGATCATGTTCTGCCTGGTTGGCTCTCCCTTTTCCGCGGTATGACCTAAAACGGCCACGTCCTTTTCGCTTGCCACCCTTTGCTCTTCCCGGTGATCCGGGACGCATTCTTGGTCTTCTTCCCTTTTTGAATCTCCTTGCAACGAAGGCCTCATGGTCATCAACTGTCCAGAAGACAGCTTCTTCATCCTCGGCGGCAAGAAAGCCTTCCTCAAGGGTGTCTTCGTCTTGGAGCCAGAATCCATCGACTCCATCGTATTCACCCTGATCGAGGATGAGGAAGTTTCGACCTCCGCGTTTGCGGCGTTGGTCTCTCCTTCCATGGCGGTCCTTCTTGTGAGAAGAGTGCCGAATGTTGGGATCCTGCAGACCAGTTCTGGTCGTTGAGAACTGATCGAACATGGTCTGCCGTACCACAGGGTACGTGTAGGTCTCAATTCGGTGACCTTGGTTGGTCAATGCTGTTACCAACCTCTCACGTTGCATCTCATTTAGGTCGGACTGCACTAGGAAGAGGAGAGCTAGGAGATTATCGTTCAGAGGAAACGCTCTTCGATGATTGTCAAGGCGTTCCTTGTTCCATGTTTCGAAATAGCGTGCGGCATATGTGTCTCTATCGGCTGCATCCTGCATGCGCAAGAAGGTTTGGTCTGCCTGCACAGCTTGCATGAAATCTGGATGGGCATCCTCCAGAGCTATCTCTGGTAAGAGATCCATCCATGAGTTTTTCACGCGCTGTAGCACGATCTCAAACTTGGCAATCCAAGTCACAAAGTCTTGGTTGCCCTTCCATGCCTTGAATAGGCCGAGGAAACGCCACAGGAAAACGTACTGTTCTCCTTTCACGAAAAATGGACGCATCTTCTTCTTGAAGTAATCTACTCCATCTGGGGCTGCAAGCCTTTCTCGGTTCAGTGATTCCTTTTGTACTGCGGCCAATCCGGAGAGCCTCGTCTTGAGAGACGGACCTCTTTTGGTGTCATCCAGCGTTGTTATGTCGCACCAGTCGTCAATCAACTGTTCATACTCAAACCACGAGGTGGTGCCATCATAGGCAGGCGCGATCTTGGGCGTTATGCCTAATGATGCAAGCATGCGGTCAGATGTTGCATATGACTGTGCGACATAAGTGGCTGGACCTTGGGAGGTCTCTTCGTTCTCATATCCCCCGGAGGATTGGGAACTGTCGTCGGCTTCGCTATGCGAGCTCGACATTGTGCTGCCTCTTATCCGCTTGGTTAAGCGTTCGGCGAGGCCGACCGCTGTAGCGGACTTTGGGAGGCGGGCGGCCCTTTCCGGGCTCCGCTACCAGAAAACTGAGCCGATACACCCACAAGGAAATGCTCCTTGTTAGGAGGTGTATGACCAGTTTATTCCCTAAGGATCAAAGGGCAGCGCCCTGCACACGGACAGTAGTTGTTTTGTCTTGCTACGCAAGGAGAGCTTGTCTTGTCTCAATATGGTAAAACCACTGTGAGCCAATGGGCAGCGGAATGTATATGTATGAGCATGCAGCCATTGCTGTAGGTACCTGTTAGAGCTACCCCTTTAGAGGTTTACGCAAACATGGGGCCCATCCTCGCGCGACTGGTCGGGACGCCGCGGTCGCCTGCCCGTTTCATTAGTCCCGTGTTGCCCGGCAAGGGATCACCGAAGGCCAAAACAAGACATAACGACGTATGTCGTCTGTCACAATCGGGGTGAGCAGAGATCACCGGGCAGAGCCAGACGGGCCCCGGCAGCCAGACTGCTGGCGCAGCTCTGAAGGTCGTAACCATCTTGTTGCGTCCATTGACGGACCCTGGCTAAGGCACTGGACAGCAAACCTTCCCCCTTGCAGGCGCTTCGCGCCTGGCCCCAGGGTCCCTCCTGTCGCTTGTTTCTCTCTTTCTCTCTGCAGCTGTTTGGTTCACAGGTGGGTGGCCAACATGGAGAAGGCCAGTCCAGGAGAGCTCCGCAGCAGAAGCAGAGAGTCGGCTAGGAAAAGAAACCCAGAACGGAGTCGCAGCAATTGAATTCCCGGCTAAGGCAAGAGTTAAGACCCAGCCAAGGGCAAGGGTTCCATCCGGCCCAAAGGAAAGGATCCAAAAGGAGCATAATCTGGCCGCGGGAAAAGCCAGCTCCACAACCCGGCTGAGCACAGCAAGGGTAGCAAAGAAAGCCAGGACACCGCAAATGAGAAAAGTGCTGCCTCGTCTTGCTACTCTTTCTTCCGTTCCAGGTCGCGCAAAACCAAGGAAAAGGCGGCAAAAAAGGGCAAGGAGGCCTGCAAAGGCCTCAGTCCAGGCTGGCCAAAGAATGGCCGTTAAGTCCAAGACCAAGCCCTCTCCCAAGGCTGAGGAGGCTTCGAGCTCTTCCGAGCCACCGGCCGCCTCTGTTCCCTCTAGACTCAGGCACTTGGACTTCTCCGGAAGGCCACATCTGCCAATATGTGCTAAAGCAGGGTGGCTCCACCCTCCAGGCCAGACGTGGAAGCTCCATCCGCTGGAACAATTCCAGCAGGGGAAGCTCCGAAAGGCCAGAACCTGAGTAGAAGCTAGGAGCGCAGGGCACCTAGAACTGAGTTCCCAAGAGGAAAGATCTCTGCTTGAGAGGGCGGGGCGTTTATAAACAGATAGAGCAGTTGAAAGGAATATATACTTGGCATAAGTCTGTACTTATAACATGCCTATGTCTAGACATATGGAACATATATTCGTGCTAAACAATTATAGGACTTATTATGTGAGGCTGTTCAAATAGTATTTACATAATAATCGAGCCAAGTACTTGGAACACATAGCCGACTTAACTATATCTAGTTATATCTATGTTACTGGACTTAAGCATCTCAGGCACCGAAGTTATAAGTTCATTTAAGTATATCGAGTAAGTCCTGTATGTTCAACTTAGTGTATGACAGAACTCAGACAACTGTATTTGTTTTGCAAGCTCCATGCATGCATTCTGTGCTTCTGCAGCAGGGATATTTTCGATTGTTGTTGGCGGAAATGGACGGATCTACAGGATTGGTCATGCAATTATTGCTGAATTTGCTGTGGCAAGCAGGCTCGGCGCCATGCAGGGCAGTATTGCTCGCAGGCAGCCGGGCTGCTTGCAGGGGCATGTGTTTTGCAGCGATCATGTTGAGCCGCCAGCATGTGCAGAGCTGTTGGTTCAAGCGGTTTAGCAAGGAATCTACTTTCGCCTGCGATCAGAATCGCTCGCGATGCCTTTGACACCGGAGGCTGTGGCGGAGATCAGTCGCCTGGTGGAGGAGAGCAGTCGGAAGGGGGACTTTCTGGTTCGCAATGTCCAGCAGATCTTTGCCGTGCTCAAACGACACTCCCTGCTTCAGCGGATGCGAATCCCACCCAAGGCTGTGGGAGTGCACCCAGCCAATCGTGATGGGTCATGTCTGGTAGTTCAAGACGTACATGAGTTGTTGGACAATATCTCCGCTGTCGGCTTCGAACCGACTCGGACGAATCCCATTGCCATTGAAGCTTCCAGCGAGGCTGAGCAGGTCTTCAACAAGCAGCTGGTTGAGTCTGCAGGCGGTCAGCTCGGCCGGCTTGAACTTGGAGAGCTGAAAGTGCTCTCCCTCAGCAGTTCACACACGAATTTTGCACTTCGGTTGGTTGCTGATGGAGCACCCCACAAATCGGAGGTAATCTCGGTTCAGGGCAGTCTCTCCCTAGAGCTCGTGCAGAAGCGAGACCCGGTGCTCGCTGAGTATGTACTCCAAGGCCTGGAGTGGACGGTCATCGCAGCTGAAGTGGGCCAGAAGTGGCCAGACTTGTTGCAGCTGGTTCAGTCCTCATGCAATGCAACTTTACAAAAAACGGAATCAGAACTTCAGTTGTTGCGGCGGATTTGTACCATCGTGGGGCGACAGACCGGTGTGCCCGACTATCAGACGGTCAAGAGACAAGCCCTGCACTCGAAGCCTCCGTGTGCAGAGTGCCTCCCAGGGCTGTATCAGTTCGCACTCAGGTTTCTTGCTTGGCACTTTGATTGTAGATTTCTTATTATATCTAGTGTCTGTGTTGAAGAGGTTTTGGAGAGTGCCTGCATGCAAAGTATATAGAGATGCAGGCATTGTGGCGGTGCGGATGCATTCTTTCTCGCCGAGACTGAGATGTTTCTTCGCAGTCACGGCCAGAGCAAGGGCATGGGACCTTCCTTCTGGGAGAATGTGTCGGCGGACTTGAAGAAGGGCGACCAAGTGACCTTCTTCAGGCATGCTTTGGTGAAGCTTGCACTGAGCACCAATCTGGTGACTGCCACATCTGTCAAGAAGGCATTGGCCAAAGATGCCCTTCCCAAGGCCATCAAAGCCGACGAGGCAATGTCCAAGATTCGCAGCATGCTCACCGGAGCCGGTGTGCAGTTGATGAGCGACACTCGGCTAGTGAATCTCTTGGGGGTCACGGATTGCACGATGGCGAAGCTCGTCTTGGGCCTGAGCCCTGAGGACGACAAGAAGTACAAGGCCGTGGAAGCAGTGGCCCATGATTGCATCACGGTGGCGAATGGCCTGCTTGGGACAGCTCTGGTGTCGCCTTGGGCGGGCGATGCGGAAGTGATGGATGCAGGGCTGCAGCAGGAGTCATCGGGGTCCCAGGGGGTCCAGGAAAGACTCCGGGAGCTGAATCCAGACGGCAGCCTCAAGAATCCGATTGAGCTCCTCAGTGCTGAGGGCTTCATCGTTGGTGCCTGCATCAAGAAGAAGGGCGAGAAGTTCGAAGGCCAAATCGGCGCCATGGACGACAGCAATGTCACCGTCAAAGATCTGAAGTCCGGTGGAGTCTTGAAGGTGCCGGCGAGAGATTTGCTGAATTCGGGCTGGATGGTTTTCAAGCCGAAAGCGGAGCCCGAGTCCATTGCTGCTTTGCAGTCCATGGGGCCCAAGAAGAACAACGATTTCTTGGCCGGCTTGGTTATCGCTGAGATTCATCAGGCAATGCATGAGTTGGTCAAGACCCACGATTCGCAGAAAATTCTCGAGGGCTTGTCTCTGCAGCTGAAGCCATGCAGAGCTTTGGTGAGCCAGCAGGTCTTCGGGAAAGGCAAGCTCATCTTGGTGCCATACAGCTGGAAGGTTTGCACGAGGAGCCCGAAGCCCGAGCCCATGGCGAATGCGGTCCAGGTGCAAACCAAGTGGAAGCTCGACGATCGTGAGTTTTGGTTGCAGAGCTGCAACTCCTTGCCGAAGGATAGCAATCCAGAAGTCGGCAAACACTTCATCTCGCCGTACTTCTTGGTCGGATCTTGCGAAGACGAAGATTCCGCCAACATGGTTCAGGTCATGTCCGGGACCGTACAATCGTCGGTTCGCATCCCAATGTTGAAGAACAGCAAGGAGATTGGCACGGGGACTGCCCTGCATATCCTGAAGGTGAAGCAGGCTGACGAGGAGGAGCATGCCCCGAAAGCCAAGAAAGCCAAAACCACCAAGAAGTGAGCATTGGCTGTCATGTTCTGAACATGCATCGGGATTGAGTCTTCCTTTCACACGAGCAACATTGGCAGGCAGGGACGGACCGAGGCTTCTTCAAAAGTGTGATTGCATTCTTTTGAGCACCTCCAAAGGCAGGAGTTTAAGTTGTTGCAATTGTGCTGTGCCTCGTGCTTGCTCTTCAGCGCCTGCAGGGCTTCTTTAGCTCGCAGGCAGCTGAGTGCATGTTGTTTCGATTGCAGGATCTTCTGGCTGAGCATTTCTAATATATATAGGAACCAACACATAGCTGGAATCTGCCTGCCATGAACTTGACTGTCGAGCAGAAGATGGTGCTGTATGTGAATGGCAACCATTGCATCCCCGAGCAGAAATCTGTCGACGGTGAGACCTACATGCATCTCAAGAAGTGGGATCGTGCCCTTGTCAAAACACTGACAGGGAAATCCTTAGACTTGCGGCCAGGCAAAGCCAGTGGATCGTTGAACATTGACATCTGGGACGAAATGATCCGTGCGAGGCAGGACAAGGCAAACCAGTTGTTGCAGGAGGCATTGAACACGGAGGAGGATGCTGCGACGGAGAACAAGAAGAAGTCCAAGAAGCCGCAAGTTTTCAAAGCCTCTTCGAAACATGCACTGGTGTTGCCGCTGAAATTCACCATCTCGGTCCAGGGGCACGAGTTCCAGGTGCTGTTCGACGGAATCGGAACAAAATCGGTGTGGATCGAATTCTCCGAAGAGAACCTGAAATGGCTGAAGAATAGTGTCGACAGCAGTGAGCAGAAACCCCGCAAGAAAAGGCGAACCAGTCGCCGATCGGGCAATGATCAGGAGAAGTCGCAGGAGAAGTCGGATGATGACAACGATGAGAAGAACGAGGAAAGCAGCTCCGAGAACTAATGAGATTCGGCCGGGTTTGCTATAGCACATCGTGTTCTCTCGATCAGCCACATGCAGACAGAAGTGAGAAAGTGTCCATTTGTTTGTGGCATGCATGCATTCCCACGATGCAGACAGAAGTGAGAAAGAAAGTGTCCATTTGTTTATCACATGCATGCATTCCCATGATGCAGACAGAAGAGAGAAGGTTGCAATTTGTTTGTCGCATGCAAGCATTCTGGAAGCTGCTCAGCATGGAACATGGCGGAATGCATCATGATTCGAGGCCTTTGGCTGTTGGGGGCGGGGCTTTTAGCTTTGCTTAGTCCGGGGCCATGCCGGGGTTCACGATGATGTGTTCCGGAACCCCTTCCGCCGTGGACCCAGTTTGGTCTCAAAAGTTGTGGTTCTATAGACTCGGGCAAACCTGCAACTTCCCAGGATGCCGAGCAGAGGCTCATGATGGACCTCGTGACGGTGGAAGATGTCTTCTACCCAATGAAAGGCTGGCTGTCTTCAATCCTTACAAGTCTTTCCTTTGTTTTTCGGCAGGACCCAATCGCCGGAAGCACCGCTGGGTCACGGAGTCCGGCACGAAGCTGCGATGGCTGGGAACCGGTGTTTGGTCAGGTTGGCACATCGACACCCGGGATGGCCAGCAAAGCCTTTGGTTCCACGAGAACCACGAGTTGCCGGAGCCGCCGGAGAAGGGCTGGCAGTTCTGGCACAATGGGCGATACCACCAGAGCAAGCTGTGGTTGGTGGATGTCGACAAGGCTTTGCCCAGCATGTTGTGCTTTAAGTGTGTTTCCCTAAACTCATATAATTCCGAAGGACTCTCGGCACGAGCCCCACATGCCGGTGCCAGCTGCAGTGGAGGCAGTGCCTTTTCCGGGTTTGCTGTGGGCATAAAAGACTTTCGTGTGCATGCAGGAAGAAGAAACCCGAGAGCACGACGATCCCGAGGCTTTGGCTTGTTTTCTTGCATTCCGATTTGTTTTGGGCCTGTAAGACTGTCGTGTGCATGCAGGAAGAACAGGGCCCAGAGCATCAGGAGGCATTGGCTTGCTTTGTTCCATTCCGGTGCATGATGGCTTGCCTGCGAGCACATCGGCCCTGCATGCAGCCATCATGCCGAGACCTTTGCAGGATCCCATGATCGTGGAGGAGGCGGCCGAGGAATGCGGCATGGAGGCTGAGCAGGAGCTTCAGCACTTGCAAAGCTGTGGCAATGTTCATGCTGAGATTGCGAATATCTAGCCTCCGTATATATTGGTTCTCATATATACATATATACATATATATATATATATATACATGTATAGATATTTCTGTATAAATGCAATTATAAGTAAGTGTATATGTAGATACATATATATATATATATATAGGTATATAGGCAATATAGGTATAGCTTTTTTTCTATCACATCCTTATGTACACATATAGACACCAAGGGTTCTTGTATATTTTAAGCCCAAGGCCTAAAAACCCCAACCATACACCAAACCTTAAAACCCTCAACCCACCTTAACACCCTTCGATCAGGACCTACCGGAGGAGCCCCTCTTCGAAGAGGAGGTTGGGTTCACACGGGTCTTGGGAGCACAGGCGGTTTCGTGCATGTCTTCCTGAGGACGAACAAGAGGAAGTGTGCATCGAGGAGGCCCATGCACCGTCTTGATGGGCTCTGGGTTGGGTTGCTCTGCTCCTTTCGAACTGAGGAGGAACCTGTGCTCCACAGCCCCAAGGCCTGTGGATGCCATTCTTGTGAGACCTGAAAAGAATGGAGCACATGCAGGACTTGGCTGATGATGATGATGATGATCCCGGCCACGAGGCGATTGGGTGCGGCATGTGTCGGCAGTTTCGTGGATCCTGCCGTGTTCGAACCCAGGGCACACAGCTGGCTGTGGTTAAGCCGAAGCAGAAGGCCAAGGGTTTAGGGTTTCGGGTTTGGGGTTTGGGTTTCGTGTGTTGCAACTCCACATGATGCAAGCCACATGGCGCTTTTGCAGGCCCGACCCGGGAAGAAGCTGGAGCTGGCCAAGCAGGCAAGGACAGTGGGTTGCATCGTCTGTTTTTTTTTGTTGTGCTCTTCCGGAAAAGGAGACGGCCCTCGTGAAGGTGCCGACCAAGGCTATATAGGGTTTGATGCCTGTGGCATGGTCGCCTGGCAGGGCCTGTTGGCTCGCCGGCAGCACATGCACAGTGACATCAGTGATGTGTGCTGCAGGGTGGCTTCGTGCATGTGCCCAGCAGCTTCAAAGCACCGTGGGCTTATGGAGGCAGTCGTGTCATCATGCTTGGTTCACACGGCAACACCATGGCAGTCCTGTCAGGTGCTGCGAAGCCTCAGGGGGTGCAGGTGGCCGGCTTCCTCACGGAAGACGGGCAGCTGTTCCCTCCAGGATGCGGTCGCACCCGTGCCCGGACTAGGGGTGGCGGTGCTGCTAGGATCGCTTCGCAAGCCATGGAGACGGCGAACAAGATGGCTGGTGTCATGAGCGACCACATCGCCCTGCAGCGGGACCAGCTGCGAGTTCAGGACAGGCATTGCAAGTGCAGTCGTCCTTTGTTTCAGTTGCCTCTGTGCTCCGACATGCAGGAGCGGATGTGGGCACCCGGCCAGGGCCAGTTGTCTCAGGCCATGCACAGGCAGCCTTGGCACCCTTTCTTTTTGCATTGGGCCCCGACGTGCAGGGCTCGGGCTCCAGCTCTTCCAGGGCACCGCCGGCGGAGGAGGATGTGCCATGGTCATTGTGGTGTTCGGCTTCTGTGTGCCTTTTGCAGGACTCGTGGTGGGACCAGGAATGGACCTACCGCAAGAGGCATCGACGTGGGTGAGCAGGGTCGGCGGCTCGGCGGCCGTCCTTTGCAGCGAACCCTCCATGCCTTTATGCACCCAGGCGGCCCATGCGATGAGCCGATCCTGGTCAAGCAAGGTGGGTGCTGCTTCCAATGGTTGGTATCTAGAAAACAGCAAGGTTTATCAATTGATAAACTCTGGTGTTCTAAAAACACCAGAGTTTATCAATCGATAAACCCTGCTGATCCGGGAACCGCAGGTTTTATAGATTCTCATTCTTTTGGGTCCCAGAGTTTGTGAATCTATAAATCCTGGTGTTTCCAAAACCACAGGGTTTATCAATCGATAAACTTTGGGTTTCAGCACTTGTGCTGCTGGTCCGCCCGAAGTGTCCTGTGCACTGCTAAGAGAGCTACCCTGCATAAGGATGAATCTCTCGAATATTGACAGGATGCAATATCCAAGCGGCCTCGTGATGCTGCCTCGGAGGCTGGACTGGGCTGTGCATCCTGGGTCGTGCTTCGTCTGCTGTCAACAAACTCACCGAACATTTGCCGGCCGCATGCAGGACTCCCTGCTTGGCCGTGCTGAGATGGAACCGTGGCGGGCTCCAAGTGAAAGGGACTGGCCGGTGTCCCGCATGCTAGTGTGGTCTAAGAGGGCTATATATGATATGCAAAATTTAAGTATTGTAGTACTAAATAACTGTACAATACATTATATATACCATTGCTACACTACTCTCCTTTTTGCTACTATACGATATACTATACTACTACTACTACTACTACTACTACTACTACTACTACTACTACTACTACTACTACTACTACTACTAGTACTACTACTACTACTACTACTACTACTAGTATACGACTGTACTACTACTATATACTATTGTACTACTCGTATACTATACTACTACGACTACGACTACGACTACTACTACTACTACTACTACTACTACTACTACTACTACTACTACTACCACTACTACTACTACTACTACTACCACTACCACTACCACTACTACCACTACCACTACCACTACCACTACCACCACTACCACTACCACTACCACCACTACTACTACTACTACTACTACTACTATTACTACTATATACTATATACTATATACTATATACTATATATAGTACTACCCCTATATGCTGCTGCTACTGCTACCACTATATACTGCTACTGCTGCTGCTACTGCGACTATAGTGCTATACTACTATACTACGACTACTATACTATACTATACTACTAGACTACTACCACTACTACTACTACTACTACTGCTACTACTACTACTACTACTAGACTATTACTACTACTACTATACTACTACTACTACTACTACTACGACTACTACTATTATTATATTACTATAATAAACATTACTATAGTACTTACTCTTGCTACTATATAGTACTACTACTACTATACTACTATATACTACTACTAGCCTGGAAGGAAGGACACATAAGAGCATTCTGATCACCTTTAAGCGACAAATACCCTGAACGTGCTCAGTGTCCTTTCAACCGGCTCTACTACTACTACTATACTACTATACTACTACTACTACTACTACTACTACTACTACTACTACTACTACTATTACTATATACTACTACTACTTATACTACTACTACTATACTACTACTACTACTACTACTACTACTACTACTGCTACTACTACTGCTACTACTACTATACTACTATACTACTACTACTATTACTGAAAATACTATACTACTATACTTTATATTATAACTGTATATATATATACTATACTATATATACTCTATATATACTATATACTACATATATTCTATACTATATATACCATATTATATACTTTATACTATATATGCTACACTATACTATATACTATACTGCTCTGAAGGGCACCGGCTTGACCTTTTGGGAAACCAGCACGTGCTGACATGCAAAACTTACAAAACCTTCGCATCCAGCAAAGCTTTCACATGCCGATTTCCCCGATGCCTTTCCACTTGGTGAGCCCTGGTGTACAACTTGCGGCCTTTTGTCGAGGCCGCCTGAAATTGGCTCTCTGCTGCAGGATCCGTCTCACCCACCACTTTTGAAGTGTTTGTTTGGAAAGGAAGGAAAACATGTCACCTGCATGCGAGCACGTCGGCCCTGCATTTGCGGTGTCATGCACAGAGGGAGAGGGAGAGAGAATAGAGACTTGAGAGGGACAGAGAGCACGACAGCATGGCAACACATATATACATGCATGCCCGATGTCACATGAGGAATCATGCGAACAAAACAAAGCAACAGCAACAGCAGTAGCATGCACACATGCTTTGTGCACGTGCCTATATTTGGCCAAGTACAAAATAATCATGCACCGATGGCACATGCAGATTTTCGTTCTTGGGACCAACGACATGGCAGGCAGGCCATTGCCAAAGGATCTGGGTGTATGCTGCATATACCACCTGCTATACTCATCGTGCATGCACAAAGACGACGACCAGCGACGAAATCGCCATGCAGGGCTTAATGCTCGCAGGCAGTGAAAGGAGCAGCTTGATTTGCATGCAAAGGTGGGTGTCGTTTGTGACAGCAGCCTTTTCTTGAGCTTTTGTAGCAACTCACACCTTTCGGAGCCGGCACAGCATGTCGACTGCCACACAGACGGACCAAGTGGTGGCGGATCTGCAGGCAATCGCAGGCTTCTTGGCGACGATGAAGGATGCTGGCAATTACGACTCTGTTCGTGAAGGGCAGGTCCTGGCCCTCATCCAGCGGGTTCAAAGCATGAGGCTGAAGCCACAGGATGGCACAGCCTTGGTGAATGCTTGGCAGCAAGGCCCTTGGACACAGGCACAGAGCCAGAGGTTCTCCGAAGCAGTTGCTGCCGTCGTTTCGAACCAGAGCAATGCTGCAACAGACAAGCGAGGCATGCAACACCTCAGCAGTTTCGAACACTTCTTGTCAGTGAAGGACATTGAGATTTTGGGTGGTCAATGCAACAACACAATGAAGCTGGAATGCCTCGCAAGCAGGTGCTGCAGACTTCGTTTGGTGTGCCCAAGCGAGCCTTCAGTCCGAGCCATTCTCGCAGCAGGAATGGCACACGGGGCCAATTTGGGATCGCCTTCTGAATCCTATGCACATAGTGTAACTTTCAAAAAAATATTGAAGCAGAAGGCCAAGCAAGTTGGCAGAAATGGAATCCATTTGCTCCACTACCCCGGCTCCGTGGAGGAACTTCCTGCTGAGCTTCGCACTGCAGCATACGATGCAAACGACTCTGCATGCTCACCCCAAAGCCTTTCTCCTGCCGATGTGCACAAGGCTTCTGGGCAGCTCGTCATCCGAGGCTCTGACAAGAGGGTCAAGAACTCTGGCACGGGAGGCTTCATGCAGACCATGCCCATGCAGCAGCCCTGGTCAAATCCCATGGGCATGGGATCGATGCCAGACCCTTCTTCGGGCATGACAATGGTGGGCTGGCTTCGAGGCATGCAATGCATGCAGCAGATGATGCAAACATCCAATCCCGATCAGCTTTTGTCGAACCTACAGATTTTCAGGCCCGGACAATCGCAGCAGGCATCACAGGCAACTGCCAATGTTCAGCAGCAAGCTCTTGTCACATCGTCCTCCAGTACCAGTGGTCAAAATGCAGCTTGCACTGCTGGTGTGCAGCAGCCATCACAGGTTGCCCTGCAGTCGCCGAGTCGTGAGACCGCAACCGTCCCTCAGGATCCTCAAAATTCGCCACCTGCTGGTGGGGTCGCACCTGGCAAGACGGTTCAGACGGAGCTGGACGATGACGGGATCCTTGCCGCTGCCGCCCTTGTGTCAGATGCCTTGGACGAGAAGAAGGGTGA